ACTTAGAAGTGAATAGTGTTGGCATTCAAGAACCGTTGGATTGCCACAATCAGGAGATGAGAATTAATGAGATCATAGAAATGTATGAGCAAGAGCAAGACATTGAAGAACTTGAGTCTTTAGACCCAGTTCAATTCAATCGAATGACGGTTGGTAATTTGACAGAAGGGCTCCCTTTAATTGAAAAAGGGGTTAGAAAAATACATATTCCAACGAAGAACTTATTTTTTCAATAAAACAAGCAATAAAAAATTATCAGCATGTTACGAGGAAGTTCTGCGAGGGAAAAAAAACTTTTAGAGCCAGCAGACAACTTGTTAGATTTTATGAGACCTTCTACATCAAAATGCTTTAGATTGAGACTTTGTATTTGTATTATCTAAGATTTTACTAAACATTTTTGTCTTAAATTATTATTTTCTTTCCTTTCTGGCCATAACTAAGAATAAATTGCATCTATTCATTTCTGAAATATTATACCCTGATTTACGCAAATTCGACTTACGCGGTTATCACTCAGTCCCACCTATCGAGTAAGTTCGGGGTACTACTGTATTTCCTACGGCCATACGCAATATCTCACAAGGTCTATGATGTGTGCACCAAATGTCTGATACACTGCCTGTAATATGTGTACCAAATGTCTGTGATACGCTGTCTGTAATATGTGTACCAGATGTCTGTGATACACTGTCTGAAATATGTGTACCAAATGTCTGAGATACACTGTCTGTAATATGTGTACCAACAATGGTTTCCTGTGATACGCATCGACGATTACAGTTGCATAATAGATAAAGAACGTAACTGATTACATAGGATATAGCGGTAAGCTAATTTATATAAGCTATAAGGAAGGGGCGTATGTTAGTGATAGAGGAATTAATCTATAAATTTAGATTCAGTGGTCAAGTACGCGACTACTAGGTAATACGTGTTGCGTCTTCTCATTCTAGATCATCTTACTTAGTTATTATTCTTGTGTATTGTGTTTAAACTAAGATCTTAATAAATAGATTTTAGAATGAATGATTTGAGTGGTTCTTCGTTCTTCCCCATAGAAACAGGTCGCGTAGATAATGTAGAACTGAGGTCCCCACTGGTGGGGACTTCACAAGTTACATATTCGTTTGAGCTAGCTCTCACTTCAGCTGAGAATATTCTTCCACGCTGTCTAAATGATTTTATAATTTACTCATGCGGTTGTCGTATAGGAAACCATATTTTATTTCATAGCAGTGTTTTATGCTGATTATTGGTTTGGTAAGCCCCAACACAGCCCCCAAATAACCCAATTTGCGATATTTTCAAAATTCCGATCTCATCATTAATCACCACGCCAAATTTGGTTGTTCTTGTCATGCGTTTCATCCTCGGATAGATACGAAAGAGAGATGAACAGAAACATACAATGAAATCATAGAAGAATATAGACTAAAAAAATATGATCCCAGCATAGAACAGAAGGGGTATGCTGCTTTCCATTCGAGACGGGAATCCATTTCAGGTGAAAAAGTCCGAATTCTTTTCCCGGAGATACATCCATGCCTTATTCGGGATTCGAACCTGAGCCCATTAAATAACAATCTGAGTGTCATATGCACTATACTGGCTGGGAGGTGTCAAATTTTGTACCACTGCAGCTAGATCGAGCTCCAGGTGGAACCTAACACTGTCAGTAAAAAAAAAACCTTGAGTATCGATGAATGTAAGCTTTCCTAAATGATAAGTATAAATTTCAATTATTCCTCAAAATTTAAGTTTTCTTCAAAAATTCATTATTTTTTTCAATTTCTCTATTAAAACCATAAAGCATAACACATTTACTTAAACAAGTGTTTTTCTCTTTGTCGATTTTATACATTATTAAGACAGGCAATTTTTTGGATTACCTCTTGTAATTTGAAGACTGCCACTCATAATTACTATATATTAATTAACATTTGCAGAAATGCTTCCCAAATTGAAAGTGTTATTATCTAGATCTAGGATTTAAACAAGATTTTTAATTAATTCTACATTAAAAAATCAGAATTAATTAAAATTCTCATTTATTTTAAGCATATAAAATTTTATTGATTAACAATCCAAACAAATACAAGCAAAGCGTTAATAAATATTTTTAACCGCCATACGTTAATTATGGAACAGATTTTCCATAAACTATTCGAGCACTATTAAAAAAAATTAATAAAAGTACAGAAAAATATTTCCTCGTATTTTTGTAATTAGCGAAACGCTGAAGTCTGTTCAGAAATGTTTAAATTACTAATGAACCGAAATTTATACATTTAATTGAATTTCAGCGTTATAAGTGAGGATGGATTCTGAGATTGCGTCAATGATTTGGAAAAATACTTCCAATTTAAAAACTATTAACGGTTTTTGTTTTATTGTTACAATGAAAGCTTTTAATGTTTAGTTAACGCATATATTTTCAACCAAATTTACTTTTTTCTAATTAGATGTACGTTAGAAGTCCATTAAGTTCGAAAAAAAATTGTAAGTAAAAGACTAAATTTTAAATAAATATTAATAAATAAATGCACTCAACTGTCTAAAAAATAACAATTTTTTCTTCTATTATTTCTCAGATTGTAAATATATTCTTTGTTTCCAATGCTTGTTTTAAATCTCAGTATTTCTCAGGTGTAATGAGCAATACATAATATGAGATTGCAATTTTCTGATCTTTTACATGCATACACACACATACATTTTAGAATAATAAAATATTTAATAAAGTGAACAGGAGAGAGAGACAGTGTGTGTTTCACTGCTGCTTCAATATCAGTGGGTGTATCATCTTAAACGGGATCTTCAATGCGCATAAATGAATGGGACACAATAAGTTGTTTTACAAAGAGAAGCCTCTCCTGTAGCCTTCTGGGAACAACAAGTCTTGTAACTTGGGCTCCAGTGTCTACATGGAACTCACAAGAATTCCCACCACGCCTCACTGTAGAAGACAAATTACAATATTAATTGGTTGTTAGAACTTTTGGACAACTTTAGTCACATCTTATCCTGTCTCATTAAATTTTCTTACTAATTTGCACACAATGATGGATAAAAGTCTTCAACAATCTGCTCTTAAAACTACCCTACCTCACATTTTCTGAAAGTTATTCCTTTATCTATTATCCGGAAGTTTGTGGTTACTCATAGTAACTGTTTGCTTTTTAATTTCATCAAATGTTTTTTAAAAAAACTCACCATCAAAGTCCCTTACAAAGATTTTCCCTTTAAATGCACAACCCATACATACTTATATGCTTACACAAAAGGCATTTAAAATTTTCTCCGCTCTATTGAGGCATTAGTTTCATCTGCTGTTAGGTCCTTTTCAAAAAATTTGAATAAAAATAAATACAAATATTCTTAGTTTTGAACAGTGTTCAGTTCCTGCTTTGGAGCAGTATTGAAATGTAACTTATCCCTCTCTCATCTTTCTCCCTTAAGTTCTGAGGAGAATATTAGAATCAATACTAAGAGCTGCAATTCCTTTCAGTTCTTTGCGTATTTGTTTATTTCGAGAAGTGATTGAGCACATATTGAAGGAAGTAGAGTCAAGAGAACAGAACAAGTAGGAAAATGAGAGTGAGAGAGTAAAACTAATCGGAAGATGGGAGAGGAAAAGTTCCGTAACGGGTTGGGGAACTTTCACACAGGAAGGAAAAAGCAATCTAAAAGGAACTGAAGACAAAATGAACTCGGAAAGTTGTCAATGGATGCTATATAGAAGTCTGTTCTCTCTCCGAATTCCTTTTACGAGGGCCTCCCCCTCTCCAGGCTTCTTAATGGAAGGTATAACAAAATAAAGCTCTCAGTCATACATATAAGACGACAAAAGATTAGTTTAAACCAGAGGTTATCAAACCTTTTGGGGTGGTAAATCCAATCTTTGTATAAAAATTTTGTTCAACCCCATAATCATAACGCAGTTTACACACGCTTGGATGCTTCTATATGTGCTCTATTTGTAGTATATTATTACTTTGCAGTCATAAACATCCGTAATAAATTTTTACTTTTATTATAATAGTATTAAAATTTTAATTATACAATAAAACAGAAAAAACATTTCATGATGTAATTACACTGTAATTCATACGTAAACTACAGTTTGTTTATTAAGTGTAGTCGTTTCGAGTTTATTTCTAAAATCTTCACCTTTTATTAACAACGGTATATGCAAGATTTAAGTATCTATGCGAAAGATGGGCTTTTGATTACTTTTCAATTCCTACTATTAGTTCACACTCTCCCTATATATATATATATATATATATATATATATATATATATATATATATATATATATATATATATATATATATATATATATATATATATATATATATATATATATATATATATATATATATATATATATATATAAGGAGATAATTAGATTAGATTTAAAATTCAATTCCCTATATAACTCTTAATTTTTATTTTTCATTACATCTTCAAGTATTAAATTAGTCACCCAATTAGTTCTCCAAAACAGATGGACCAACCTCAAAACACTTCTGATCCCAGATCATTCTTTTTATAATCCAGAAATCAGCATTAACTTTCAAGTATAACTCATAATTAAGAAGGTACTTCACATCTGGGATTAAGTGGTAAAAACACTTAGATTTCTCTTTGGAGTCGTTTTTCTCTCAGCTACAGAACATGTATATGGCTAGATGAATAAAGACCCTTTTGAATAAATTGGTTCTGACTTAAAAAATGTTTCATATTACAGAACATGTAAAGATGAATAAGACCATTTTAAAAATTAACATTGGTTCTGACTTAAAAAATGTTTCATATATATATATATATATATATATATATATATATATATACATATATCTTGTTCAAATTTTCAATTGTTAATAAAACACTTTTTATTCATCCACAAGTATTAATTCATTAATTAAGGAATAATTAGTAATAATCAAAATAATAGTACAACATTGTATAAAAAAAGGAAGATCATTCGCTGTGTCCCTGTAGCGCAATGGGTAGCGCGCGCGTTGGACTTCTTATCCAAAGGTCGTGCATTTGAATCCCACCTGAGATGGCCTTATTTCTGAGAATATGATTTCTTTGTACTATACTGTTTTATTGGAGTGAGTGAGTGAGAGTAAATATTAACGTCGTACTGTTCAGCTACACACGAGGGTTTTTGGCGACGGACCTCATAAGTTTAGATCATGGTCAAGTGACTAGGACGACACCTGAGCTGGTATCCTCCTTTCCAACCTACCACCTCACACCAATGGGAGGACGTTTCATCTCTCGACAGATTTAACGTGCATCTCTTCCCTTCACGGAGGGTTCTTCGTGGTGGTACCGGGCTCGAACTCGTGACAAACCAGCCGCGATTAGATATCTTGACCACTATGCTATCGCGGCCCCACTATTTTATTGGAATAATTAAATTTAATTAATGAAGAAATATTTACAAAAAAAAGGAATTGTCCTACCACTATATACGGAAAGGAAAATGGAAAATTGCAAGGGAAATCGCTTTCTATTTTGTCACTTAATATTGTGATTCTGTCACATGTATCTACATATTTATATTAATTATAATCATTTAATAAAAAGGAACTAAAATAAAAATTTTCTTTGTTGACCTAAGTAGGAATTGACTTTAATTTTTTTATATTACTTGTTAATTATGTAGTTATGTCTCAGAATAATAGTCGAAAATATTCTTTAGATTTAACTGATACTCCAATAAGAATATTAATAAACAATTAAAATTGTCTCAAGTCAATAGAAAGTCAATAGACTTTCTTCAATCTAAATAAATACTTAAATTTTTATTGTTCTTAATGGATAACAAGTTATTTTATGCAAACTGATATACCAAAAATCCTAAAATTTTTGGTGTCCCCATTTGGCGCAGCGATTTCTGATTTAGAGGGAACTAAGATTTATATATATTATAGCTTGACTTAGCATCGGGTCGCGTGATCTTTAACCTCACTGAAAAGTCTTGCGGTAGTTTGTATACAAAAAACGGCATACGAGCAAAAAGTAGTCAATACGGTGAAATGGGACAATATTTCGTTATCTTTCTTTGAAAAAATGATTATTTCGATGCCTAATCGTGTTTTAAAATTATTTAAAAATGACAATGTAATACTTATTGAACTAAGTTTTCCAAAATTTTAACCATTTCAAAATTATAAGAACATATGTTTGAAATGGTTAATTTCGGTACTTTTTTGTTACATTATTCTTTTAATTTTGAAATGGTTATTTTCGGTACTTTTTTGTTACATTATTCTTTTAATTTTTCAAACTTTCAATCCCCAGGAGCTGGAATCACTTTTTTTAGTGTGGCACCGTATAAGCGATACCAACTACCACAAGTAATTTTGACACCCAACTTCCTTTTCAGAGAGAGGCACCTGAGTTCTGACGTTGCGAAATTGTACTTGGGAATTTTTTAATTTTGCCGAGAACACTCAAGCTAAACGGACACTCAAGGGACACCATGGGCCGAGGGTGAACCCGCAACCTTCGGTGCAGAGGAACAGTGACAAACCAACTACGCCACCCAGCCGGCTCACTATATACTGAAAGTACTAAAAGAAAGAAGAATTTCAGATTATCAAAATTAATATTAAATTTAATTTCGAAGAAAATAAAACTCAATACATAAAAGTTTAAATTAATCAAATCTGATGTGATTTAAAAATTAATTAGCTTTTTTTTGAGATGGTAGTAAAAGAAGAAATGCATATTTAGTAATTCATATATAGTTATTTATGTATACCTTTTATTAATGACAAACTGATATCTTCTTTTACTATTTGGTGGATAAGAATTCAGTATTCATCCACAATTTCGTTAAACGGGAAAACGTACATAAATACTACTTATTAACTATTTTATCCCCACTTCTCTTTCTTTTCATTATCTACTTGTAATAGGCATGCCATCTGCTTAAAGGTATCCGACTACGTTCCGAACCGTGATTTTAAAAAAGCTCATAAATGGATATTTGCCATGATATTTGGTGTCACTAAGATTAGAATACACGTATAAAAATGTTTTAAGAACACTATGGCAAAGAAAAAGGATTATTAAAATACAATATTTTGGCAAAAAAATTAACTTAAAATGACATTTTTTTCAAGACATTCTACTTTTACAACAAATGCTTTTATAATAATAATATTTTGCTTATATAAAATAAAGTCTTCTCCAGAGAGTATGAACTAAGATTTCCGAAAAATTCGTATTATTTTCAGTTACCACCAATTAAATAATTAATTATCGGCGTTTTTTTCTTAAAATTTCTCTCCTCTGATGTAGTAAAATGAGGATAGATCCCCTTCTGAGTTATATATTTCAAAAAATCTAGTTCAGCTTCTGTACAGGTGTCGGAGCTACAAACAGACAAAATATTATTATAATGGAAGCAATATTCATAAAAAGAGAATGTTTTTGAAAATTGTTCATTCTATGTTAATGTTTTGTCAAAATATAGTACTTAAATAATTTTTATTGTAATAATATTCTTAAAACAATTTTATATACGTTTTTAATCTAAGTGACACTAAATATCATAAATATTATCCAGTAATACGCTTTTGTAAAATCACGGTTCCGAACGTAATCGGATACCTTAAATACAATTTTAGTTTTATTTAATTTATTTTGATAATTTTATTTTATAATATATAAAATTGTTTATTCTTACACTAGATGGTTTATTTCTTATTTATATATCTCAAGTTCTTAACGAATATTGCTGCTTTTACTTTTAAATCAAGTTGACACTGTAAAACATATTTTATGGCTTAAAATGTGTGTATTAAAATTGATAATATAAAAGGCTTATAAATAACTGTGTATACAATGTAAAAATTCAAAATAATATAATTTTTTATATTGTATAAAACATATGCTCACAAAATTATCTTATAGGTCTTGATTAATTAAACAACGCATCAAAAATTAATTACCCTATTGATTGTTAAATATTTAAATAATGCATAAATAAAAATACATTTAGAAAAGAGCAAAATATAAAATAAAATTAGCTTTTAATCAGAGAATTATTTTTAAGGATAAATACTTTTGTTAAGTAAAAACTGTGTAGTTTTCTATAAAAAAATTATTTTATACATTTATCCTTTTCAGACACCAATAAACTAAAAGTATTAGTTTTGGATATGAAACATTTTAAATATATGCAAAAATTTAATTTTCGGACTTACTGATAAAGTATTGAAATATAATCCGTTAAATTGTTTTATAAAAATACAGCTAAATAAGCTTCTAATAAAGTGGAATTTGTATAAATTCCTTTAAACAAAGAGGCGATATTTTTGTTTAACTCCAAAACAGTTATCAAAAACCAAAAGCTTGTTTTAATATAGTAATGATTATATTATAATAATGCTCATTAGTTTCAGTAATTAAATAGTACGTATTGAGTTTGTACATTTGTTTTTTGTCAGGAAACAAAGTTTGAAATTATATTACTCAATTAATGATACTTTATTATCTTAGAGCAGTATTAGCATAAGAGTAATTACACCTTGAAAGTTATTAAAACATTTTAAATGATAAATTCACGAAATAGTAGTCTTTCAATTTATATGATAATTTTGTTGAATGTAAGGTTAGTTGAAAAACATTTACTATGCAGAGTAAATAAATAAATAAGTTTCTTAATATATTGCTTATGTCACCTCAAAGTGGTGAAATAACTAAATATGCATGTGTAATGATCTTAGATTATTTAATAAAACAAAAGAAAGTTAAAACATATTTTTTAATTACTATGAGAACTTGAATGATTATACATGCTTGGATCGTAAGCATCTATTTAAAACCCTACGTTTTAATGACGATATTTAATTGATTTCCTCAAAAATTAATTAATAGAAATTAGCACAGATTATACAGATTCCTTTTTATTTACTTAAAAATATACTAAACTATTAACTTTAAAAGAATTAATTAAAAATTTATTTAAATAATAAAATAAAACATATTACCCACTCAAAAAAATTCGAAATATCAATTTTTTTTATTCATGAATTACTTAAAAAACCTGTATTGTTTCCACTGTTATGTTAATATCCACATGGCAAATATGTTCAAAGAACTAAACAGAAATGTCATTAAAATAAGTATTTGCAGAATTTTGAAATGACTATTCAAATAACTCATTTGTTTTTGGAATGTAGTTGATATTATTTAATGTATAGGAGGAAACGTAAACAAATTTGAAATTAGATAGCTTCAGTAACTGCGAAACTCTTCAAGTTCATCCGCATAATGAAGGAACTGAAGTAAAAATTAATTGAAGATTAGATTTTTTCAGTTTATTTAGATATTTATCACTGACATAAAAATATCCTTTGTCAATTATTTAATTTATGGAATTTCGAAAATTGTCAGGAACAATTTTTAATAACAAATTACTCAAATCATCAAGTCTTTGTTCTCATAGACTTTCTGTGTGTGATTCCTTTCCTTTATTTAAGAACTAAATAAACATATATGAAAATAAAGTTTTCATGCTACTCTTTGTGTATACCTTGCAACACCTTGGAAGAATCATGGACGTTAAATGAAAATTGCAGAAAGGGCAGTTCAGGTTAAGATATGAAATTGAATAGAACTATATAAAAAATGATCTTGCATGTATTAGGAACGAGAAAAATCTCCTAAGCTTCCAAGTAAGCTGAGTAAATAAGCAATATAAAGGTACGTTGAACTATGAGCAACGTTGTTTAATTTTTGTAAATGTATGATTACCAGTCCGTTTACTTCGCCAAAAATGCATGGGGCCAAGTGGGAAAGTAACAGCTTGCTTGAAGATAAGATTTTCATATCTTGAAATCTCCACTCGCACGGAGTGTAAGGCCTTTATTTTGTGCGTGCAAGCGATACATAAACTGAAACTGCTGTAGAAGACCAAGTAATAAGACTTCAAAACAGGACATCAAACACCCCCAAGCATAACCATCCCAACTAATTGGTGGGGATATATTATACAGTTTCTTCTTTAGCAAGGTACAACTTTAGAATACGTCTAAAGTGTAT